GGAGGCTGGAAACGCACGGCACTCGCAAAACTGAAAATTCACCCCTGGGGGGTGGGGCTGGGAAGGGCGCCCCGGAGACCCCCCCGGGAGCATAATATGTTCTTTTGCGTGTATATCGGGTACGACCATACTTGGCCGAATGCACCATATCCCGTCCGATTTGTGAAGTTAAGCGGCCACAGGCCTCGTTAGTACGGCGATCAGTGATGGCGCTGGAACCCGGGGTGCCGTACCCTCCTCAACTTTTTTTTTTGCCAACATCTTGGGGTGGGTGCCGTGGACCTCTGAAGTGAACCACGGCTCGCCTTTGGCAATGGGGGCTGCCCAATCGCGGCACCCAGCTTATCCACTTCCATCCCTTCAGGAAAACCAAACATACTTCACACATCGTTTTGTGGTGGATTGGGCGGTGGGGTGCCAACAAACCAAAAATACCTATGAAGCAAAATGTTCTTATGGGGGAAAATGTTCTTATGGGGGAAAGTGTTCTTATGGGGGAAAGTGTTCTTATTGTGCTTATTTTTCCTTTTCTGCATTTCCCATGGGTCTCCTTTTCACACTACACATGGCAGTAGCGAAACGCCTTAACACCACCATAGCAGAATTTGCCTTCATCATGGGGAAGGAAGGGCTCACCCTCATGTTCTTTGTTCATGGTGTGGCCATCCAACAGCACCTTTTATTCGGTGGCACGCGGCACCATGTCACGAGGGGAACGGGGAAGGGTCATCTTCGCGGAATGCCTTTCAAACCCATCTTCCCCAGCGTTGAAGTGGGGAAAGCAAGAGTTTTCCACCATGCCCAACCCCTCAGTTTATAAGTGAAACACCCCCGGGAGCCACCCCACCCCTCTTCTTCTTGTTGCGCACAAGACGCTGACACGTTGGCCGCCCGCCTTGGGTTGTGGGGGTTGTGTGTTCCCTCCTCCCCCTTCTTGGGGCGTGGGATTAAAAAAAAGAAAAGGGCAAAACCCGACAACGAGCCTCGAGCATTGCGCGCGTAGAATGGTTGCCGGGTTTCATCCTTTTTGTTTTCCTCATCCTCACTCTTCTTTTTCTCTCAAGTTCAAAAAGTCCCTGAGCATGATATTTCAGGCCTCAAGGTTCAGCGCCTCGGGACGCAAAGTGCCCCTCCTCGAGCCCCGCCGAAGCGAAGCATGCCGCTTACACACAAACCCCACAGACGCCGCAGTGGAGTGGTCCAGCAACACAACGGCATCCTTCCCACTCACAGTGCACACATACACAATGACAGTCCCACATGCTCATGTCAGAGAGGCATTACGGCATTCCCTAAAATATACACCAAGCCACACCACCTACAAAGAGGAAAAGAAACCACAAGAAATGAACAACAACAACAACAGGATACCAACAGCACACAAAGCACTTACAGTACAATAATCACAGCTGCCACTCCCATCAGAGAAACACATTCACCCACACCAGCACATCAACTCAACCCCCAAAAAGAAAAATAAAAAAAAACAGACCCATTACGTGATGTCGAAGCGGAACAGTCTCGGTCCATCTCCCCGCAGGCTGCAGTCACTCAAACAACCCAACAACACACAACACAAGAGCAGAAATATGTTCGTGGTAATACCGCGAGTGACAACGCCGAGAGAGAAGGTGAGAACAAAGAAATGTGTTTTCATTAGGTGGGCGGTGTGAGTAGCAACCCAAACACACATAGGAACTCACAACAGAGGGGCACACTCAAACACCTACAACCCACCAATCTTTATACCAAAATAAAAATGTAAAAAAAAAGAGTGACTGCGTGAAGCAGACACAATAATAGAGCAAAGATGTAAAAGCAAAAGAAATTCATTACTGACTGTGGCTGCGATGCCTGGACACAGTCCAATCCACCCCAAGGTGAACAACGGAAAATCATTGTGTACTGAACCTGTCGTACCCATATCTTTATTCTTGATGTCCGTGCAGCAGTTCGTATATAATGAAAAATAAAAATCATTGCATAAAAATGAACACACAAGATACACAAGGTGTATCAGAAACGCAAAAGAGAAACACACACAGCTGCACATAACGTGCAATGTAATTATAATGAAACACACACACAAGAAAAAAACAGTATAATGAAAACAAAAAGAAAGCCGTGATCACCATGTGAATATGTTCAGGAGGCAATAACACAATTCACTACAGTGTGTGTGTGTGTGTCTTTCGTACAGGGCGAGCAATGGGAATAATGCACACATGATGACAGCACACACACACACACACACAAGGAGAAGGAGGGTTGGTAGTGTGCGTGTTTGTGTGTCTTGAACCTCCTGCCATTCTTCACATTTCAGTCACAACCATTAAAACACATCGGGCTGTATCCCATTCCCATGAGTGAATGCAATAATTAGTAATATCACGGAACACACACACATCACATGGTAAGCACGGTAAATGGCGGCAAAACAGTACCCAGATAATAATGCGAACAAACAAAGAGGACACTCCCCTCACAAAATGATGGTTTGTCATCTGATGAGTGCCATAGGGAGTCCAATAGATTTGTTCAGCATAAAAATGCAAACAAGTGATTTATCGAACTGAAAAAAAAAACATGCTGATATCCAACCAAAAGAACAGCGCCCTTACAATGTATCCATGTCCACTCAAATAAAGGTTGACTGTGCAACTGTATCATGGGAACACCGACTAGCAAACGACGGTGCACCCCAACACACACAAGAGAACAAGAAGCATCAATAAGGGACTGTGCATCACTGCAGGACCATGGCTGTTGTCACTTAGCTGTGAAACATTCAAAGAGATTGAAGCTGTTGAAGCATTAGTTAGCAGATTTTGAGATTTTAATGACTCAGCATCTTGTATTGCTTTTATTGCCCGTTCCGCCTCTTCCTCAGCCTTTTCCCCATCCTTTCCTGCATTTTTCTTCCCCGCCTTTTCTTCTTTAGCCCCTTCCCTATTCTCATCATCTCCGTTTCCATTCTCTTTCCTTCTCCCCTCCACACTGTTATCTTTCCCCGCATGTTCCTCTACCACAGTCTCTTCCTTATCCTTATCCTTTTCCTGTGTCTGCCGCGCGTTCTCTCCAACCTCTTCTTTTTCCTTTGGTGGCCGCACTACAACTTCCCCTTTTTCATCAACCAACCCCAGCTGTAACAGTTGTTTATACTCTCTTGCTTTTGCTTCCTCCAGTTCTCTAGTAACGGTGGCGTTTCTATCCGCCACCTTTTTTTTTAAGTCTTCAACCGTGGTTTCTTTTAAATCCATTTCGAGCCCCGGGACACCTTCCAATGACTTCTTGAGGGCCCCCACTGCCCGATCCGCGTCACCCATGGCTCCCACGACGAGCGCAAGTGATTTGAGTTCACCATCCGGGGATTTGAGTCGTTCTGTGAGGCTTCCCAACGTTTTGATTGCTTTACTGCTCTTCTCTCCGAGTCTTTTTCTTTCTAACGTAATGTTCGTTCCCTTTTTAAGTACTTCCGAAAAAAGCTTTTGAGCTTCGCCCAGTTTCTTTCTATCACTATGCCCGTACCAAGGTTGTTTCGTACAGGTTTCTTCCAATATAGTTATATCTACGATCGCCAATCTCACATCACCATAATCATTAATGATTTTTTGTACTTTGGCCTTTTTTTCCTCCTTCCACGCATCACCCTCTGGTGGTTTTTCTTTGATTTTCTCGATCTCTTTCACAAGAGCCGTGGCGTTGGTCGCAATAGCTTGAGCACGCGTGGAATTATTCTCACACAATTCCCTTTTCCCCCCTAACAAATACAGACAACCAGACATATGCACCATGTACTTGTACGCCTTGGCCAATCCCTCGTTTATCTCCCGTTCCACCTTTTCTACATCAATTGTCTCAATGGATGGAGAATCCTGCTTAACACCACTTGGACTCGCCGCACATGCCACACACACACAGAAGTGCAGAAGTACCAATAGGTGCACCACACGGCGCTGTTGGACGAACATCGTTGTCATGATTATCACTGTGAGTTGCTTGGATCTGTGGTAACGAAATGAAAGAGAAGGAGAAAAGAGACGCACATTTAACATATTGACAAACAACAGCAACGCAGAGGGAAATATAAAGAGAGTACACAAAACAACGTCAATCAAACCACTCACACAAAACAAAGCAACGCGACGCAGGCAATCAATCTTACCACTTCACAAAAAAAACAAATACACTCCGGAATCCGTACGGATGTTTAAACAACACCCCCAATTACGGAAAAAAAAAAACCCACAAAAACAATAAAAAGAAAAACAACACCATGGGAATTTACCTACAGATCTCAGTTATCCCACTCGGCAATAATATACAACGTGCCTCTATCTATCTTTTACCGATAGTGCAACTTCATTACCCGAATGGTCGGCATCCCCTCCAAAACTGTTATAAGACCACTGAGGAGACACCAGAAAACACAGGACCCCATCTCATAGCACAGTACTCAAGGAGCACTCCCGCATGAACGTCAAATGTAACACCGCAACCCATCAGCCATCACAACATCCACACGTCAAATTCCCTGTAGTTTCACCACGGGCGCGCTCAACATCGGCACCCCTCATTGCAAAGAACCGCACGGACGGTTGACACCACCCCACTGGCTCATGAGCACATCACAATAATGTGTGTCTATTGTGCGCACACGTTCATTACATACGGCTGTCTTCTGCTCCTCTTTGTGTGTATTGGATCCGTGGCGCATATCAAAAATACACGAGTGACCCAGTCGGAAATAGAACCTCCAAACACCACGAGATCACAGGAACCATTAGGTGAGCAACCACAGGCTAAATTCGGGCGGCACCACCCGAAACTGCACATCACTTTCATAATGCCAAAACGCGTGGACAACCACCATTGCATGGGATGTGAAAACACACTCGCTAGGGAAAAAGAAAGATGTACATCATCAACAGCATTCGGAATGAACACACGACACCGGGGCACAAGACCTGACGAAACGTTCACCTGCACACCATGGAAGCCAACAAATAAGTGAAGTAAAAGTGCCAAAACAAATCACCCACACCCCAAACAAGAATCCCTGAGAACCAGGGGGACGGAAACACACACCGCACCAACCACTCACACACCAAACACAGATGTCCTCTGCCCCAAGGAAACACCAAATCTCCGACCACACACCTGGCCGCAAAGGAATTCTCTGGTGACTGAACTCGCGCAATTCCCACAGTAAACCACGACAGAAATAGAACACCAAACACCGACAGGGATGACGAATCCCCACCACGAGGGCAATCCGGGGGCAAACGACTGAAAAAACCCCACAAAGTTCGACTAGAAACATTTACAGACGCCGATAACGAGTAACACCTCTTCCCCCACTTTTCAAACAAAGTACCTGAAGAAACAACACCCTCTCCAAATACGCGGTTGATCCACGAACACGACACCGACGAAGAAACCAAACACCACCTCCAAACAGGGTCCCACAAATACCATACATAAAAGAGTAATAAATACGAAAAAAGAGAGGCCTACGAGACGTCCACCAGCTATTTTGGCACACACACACAAATGAGCGCAACACATAAACAACAACACACGTATCGGAACCCACATAATCAAGAACTGTGGCATTGTTTGTTTGTAGTTCGTTTGCATTAGCACTGATCGCAATACAATGTTGTTCGCATCTCCAACGTCACAAACAACGTTCATGAAAATACACTCCTTGCACGAGCACGAAAACGACGGGACATTCCCGCTACCGCTGCAGCGATCATGGACACAGATCATCCCCATCTCCAAATGTACTTCCACTCTCTTTCCTCCATAATTTTATTTAGGAGGGTAATATCAAACATATCCCCTTTCCACCCCTCCACCCATGGGACTCCATATCATCATGGATTTGTTTTTTATTTTCTTTCTTCACGTCTTTATGGATATTACTCCAATGGTACGGCTATCAGCCGCACACCGTAGAGTATCTTAATTACCGACTTACGAGTGGCTCTGAAGAGGAAGATCCCTTCGTTTAATAGGATCCTCAAGCTCTTGTAATATGATTTTTGGTTGTAGCCCGTTCCCAAACGAGAGAACCAGTCTGCGAGAAATCTGATCGAGTAAACCCTACCAGATCTCTCCATCCTCACTGTTCTTACCCCAAACCCGTCCTCAAGTCTCCTTTTGTTATTATTTTTGGGTTTTTTATAATGGATTGTCCTCAATGAACTCCTATTTATTTTGTTG